CATTCCTTTGCTCTGTGTTGCCCTCGCAGTCTGTTCATAATAGCCAAGCTCCTCCTCCTACAGAACCCAAGTAAGTATGTGCACCCACTGACTTCCCCTTGCTTTGAATCTGTGTTTGACTGGCCACTGCAAGTAGTCCGGGTTTGGGGTGAAATCCTGATCTCAGTAATGCCAAAGGAAGATTCAGTTGATTTCAATCTGCCATTCAGAGGATGGAATTCCCCACTTCTTGCTTTCCCTGGGCAAACATTTGTCCACGATGCACAAGTGGGAGAGGGACTTCTTAGTTTAGAAATTAACTTCACATACCTCTCCAATGCGTGGTCATTCATTGGAGCATGATGAGCTGTTGTCTCTAGTGTGGTGGAAATCATTTGCATTAGCATATTTGGGGCAGGGGATAGGTACTTTGCTTTAGTATCGAGTCCTGCAATTCTAACTTGACTACTTCTGGACAAAAGAATGGCACCACCTGCAATAGCCTTCATGTCTCATAATAAAGCCCTGAAAGAGGTGATCCCTCCTTGTCCTAAACTTATGTATATAGCCAGACACTAAGAAACTGATGCACCAGCATTTTCTGGAGTCTCGGGGCAGGGACTGATAGGTGCCAAGTGATTAAGATGCTTTGAAAGCTTTACCCCTTCAGACCAAGGACAAAATTCTTCTCCCTGGGACATGTATTATTTTGATGGCTTTTGGGGTGCAATCCAACTCCCTGTCAAGGTCTTTGGAAGGACTCCCAGTGACCTCAATGGGAGTTCAATCTGGCCTTGTTCTATATCTTGTGTTACTGCCAATGCTGCTGGGCGTTCGTATGGAAGTAAGGGAAGTGTGTGCAGTAGAGACTGTATCGTGGAAGATGAGGAGAATGTGTCTTTCGTCTTGGTTACAAATGGAGGTTCAGTCTTTGTATTCTCAAACTCGGGACAGTAGCTGTGCTTCAACAAAGCTGCCAGTGTGATTGACTAGCAATGGGAAGGTGATGTTAGCAAGGACAGTTGTCATTTTGATCAGCTCCATCTTTCCACAGGGAACTACCACTTTTGTGTGTGACCTATAAATGCCACTAGGACAATCACAATTTATACAGTAGGGTAGTGCACAGCTTTTTGTCTAAGGGCTTCCTAAATACCAAACTAACCTTAACACATACCATTGCCGGTGAAGCCAGGGAGCGTTATTATCCTAAGAATTTTGCAGATGGACAAACTGAGCCACTTGCCCAAAGCTATGCAGTGATGGGAGAAGCAAAGCAAACTCCACTTCCCCTGCTCCAGTGAGCAGAAAGGACCCAGTCACTGGCAGGAAAAACCATAAACAAGCAGTTGCTTCTTGCTCTTTACAGAACAAATAGTGTAGGGAGTGACTTCAAGGCATGTCCAAAATGGTAAGATTTGCTGAATATGCATACAACATCTGAGGCCTTGCCACACAGACTGCTGCTTTGGTCAGGTTCTGTCAGCATTTAACCCGTACAGCTGGTGAGTTCACCATGTATTTCAAGGGGTACCGTCTCCTTGCAATACATTTCACCAGGAAGAAAGAGGCAGCAGCATTTTTGGCTAACTCCATCTAAACCACCCCAATGCTTAGCCATCCATGCTCGTGGGGGCATCTTTACAGAGTTGTCATTTAAATGTTTGCTTAACCCACCTGAACAAGGGTTTGGCCTATAAAAGGCACAGCTTCATCTGGACATACTCTGTTCCAAACCCAAAGTATATAATTGCAATGTCCCAAGAACTCAAATGAGGGGCAGGGGTGTCTATACCTAAGGTTTCTTAGCCAAATCATATGTACTGTTAAATGAAGTATACAACTTGGGTATTTCAGCCCTCTCCTGCAGATACATGATATCTGGGAATTAAACTGGCTAGGTCCTATGACAAGAAGGCCCTAGCTCTTAAAAGACTAAGAGGGGAACAATGTGATGAGCAGTGTTCATATGGTGTCTTCTCACTTTCCTGGAGATGGCATCAAGAGTTTGTATAGCCTCCATGACTGGAACCAGTGAGAAACTAGGATGGGAACAACTGTTTCATCCTTTAGCTAGAGGTGGGAGGGACAGAGGGTGTGGCTGGATAAACCCTGGAAGCCCAAAGATTTATGGGTTCCTTTTCTTCCTACCCTTCTCATCCCCCTAGCTGTCAAAGAAAAGCCAGAGAGACCTATGCAGGGTCTCTGCTCTCCTCACAAATAAGTTAATTTATAACTTTTGGGCTCTTTGGAAGGCAGAGGAGAACGGAGAATTCTCCAACTCAGGCCCCAGCATAATTATTTGAGATGGCAGAGCCCCAGCCCCTTGAAGTCGCCCTCTCCCCCCAGTTTTGGGGGGTGGCGAGTACAGAGAACCGGGATTACCTCTTCTGCATGGCCTGTTTCTGCTTTTACGTGGGTGGGAAGTCCCCTATATTGCTCTGTTTCTAAACCTGGCAGAGCTGATAACCAGCTCTTGTCCTACACTATAGGGAGTAAGACCCTTGGTTACACTGGAAAAGTGCCAAGTAGGGGTGGGGGGCACACAGTGCATATGGAGGGCAAGAGGACTTGGATGTCTTGGCTAGACTTCAGTATTAACCTACCAGCTTCAGGGAAGCAATTCATGCCAGAAATCTTTCTGCCAATGGGCCTCGCTTCCTGCTCACAGAGTAGTCCTACCACAGAGGTTGCATTTTCTGTGTGCACCACTCATTGTGCCACTGGTTGCCTCAGACTAGAGCGAGCCCTATTTCCCAAAAATATTTGTCTTGTAATTACAGCGTGTTTGAGCAGACTCAATTAATCGAGTCTGCTGGAGTGTGGTAATTACCACACTCCAGCAGATGCCAGCATCGCATGCAACAGCATCCCCACGCTGAAAAATGGTGACTGGGCACCTTAACTAAATCTCATTCAATAACCTTTAAAGTGCCCTTGCTGCCATTTTTCAGCGCAAGGACACTGATGCACGTGATGCTCCAGGTGCATTATTAGAGCAGCTCTCAGAGCCACTCTAACTAAAGCACCTCTCCCCCCCAGAGCACATGTATAAATGCCCTAAATGCCAACCATTGTCCATAAGGACGCATCCTGTGCTAGGCACTCTACAAGCTAATCTGGAGCCACTGATCTGTTAGTGGGTTCAAACAGAAGCATGAAGTGTGTATACATTCTCAAATGGGATTTTTCACAGCTCTAATGACTAGCTGGGCTGACTCTTTCTTTTGTTTCTTGCCTGAGTAGTTACCCAAAGCCAATGTATCACAAACAAGCTAGCACAAAGTCAGTGCAGAAGACCTCAGACCAAGAGATACAAGGAACAAAAGAGGCCCTCATTCAGGACTTGGAAAGGAAGCTGCGCTGCAAAGACAGCCTTCTGCAGAATGGCAACCAGGTAAGAACATGCTGGTACCAAGGATCTCTTTGCTTAGGTTCTCCTCCATAGATTCCAACCAATTCAGAGGTGCTAGAGCATTTCTGCTCATGGGAGTTGTTAGACCCATGGAAAACACAAATGGAAATGCCCCCAGTAACCCTAAAAGGGCACGAGGACAGACTGCTGCCCAGAATCTTATTTGATTCCCTTAACCTCGAGGTGATCCCATTTATTCAAGCCACTTGGGCAGATTGCACTCATTATAATGAGTGCAGAGTCTACCCTCCCTGATGAGCATGGGGAGAGAATACGGTAATCCCTTGTTCAGGATCCAGTAACTCATAGATTTGGGGTTGGTAGGTTTTTAAAATCTGGTTGCTTCATTTCAAACACACTACACTTCTCTGCGTAGTAGATGAGACGGGTCTTGGCCCCTGCATGCAGCTGTAGGGAGAACAGCTCTCTGCGAGCAAGCCATACAGACACACAAGCCTACACAGGGGGGCCTGGCAGGATATGGAGTGCTCATAGCATTACCCCTATGGCTATTTTGGGTTGCAGATCTGTCCGTAGACAGCTATTGTGAGATGGCTGCAGTGTGGCATCTGTGCCAGTCCAGACATCTGTGTAAGCTGGCTGCTGAAGCAGGCAGCTCTGGGAGGTACCAAGGTCACCTGAAAGCCACTCTATGCCCTCCTCTGTCATCCCACTTCCCAGCCAGGCTGAGCCTTCCAGGTTGCCCTGTTAGGAGGTGCAAACGAGCACTAATCTTTTCTATCAATTAAAAAGCATGAATTCAGGAATCTCATCCCTTTCAGTGGTAGAATTGTTTCTACCAGCCTAGACATGGACCCAACCGAGAATTTGAGAGCCTGCCAAGGGTTTAGGCAACTAAGTTTATTCAGCCATTACTGCAGTGGTACAGTTGACCAAGCCCCAGGGAAGCATGACTTAGAACAGTGCCAGTTTGCAGGGTTTATCCTGGTTTCTAAATGCAATGGCTTCAGTACAGGCATCGTGACTCAATAGCGAATAAAAACCAACTGCCATCAATACTAGAAACAGGTCTTCAAATACCTGAAGGGTCGTCATGAAGAGGATAGAAATAGACTTTTCTCTGTGGCTGTAGGGGACAGGACTAGATTCAAGCTGCAGCAGGGGAAGTTTAGGTTGAAGATTAGGAGGAACCTTGCCCATGAGGGTGGCCAGGCACTGGAACAGGCTACCTAGAGAAGTTGTGGAAGCTCCATCCTTGGAAACTTTCAAGAGTAGCCTGGGATGGGTTTGTTGGGAATGATCCTGCCTTGAGCAGGGGGCCGGGATGACCTCATGAGGTCCCTTCCAGCCCTACATTCCTATGACCCTATGAAAGAAAGGGGAATTGCTGCTCAAGTCACTTTCTTGGCTCAAACTCTTTACAGAGAGCATCTAATTGAGCCCCACAGTGCTTGGTATCAGATTGCAAAAAGAAACAAAAGAATTGTCTAAAGAAAACTCTGCAGCCAGGTAAGTTTGAAACAATAGGCTGGAAGTTAATAACAAAGGAAGCATTTCCTATAGGAAGTTGGCTCACATTTGAGACCTGGTACAGCTTCAGCAGGGCCAAAACTTAGCTTTCCATGTCCAATTAACCCAATTCTGGAAACTGGTTTGTGCTAGGAAGAAGCAGGCAAGCTCTGAGAGCCGTTGGTGTGTACTGTGGAAATGGTCTTACTGCTTTGAGGCTTGGTAAATACACAAAAAGGTTAACCGCTTGGTCCTATTAAGTCAGAGACGGGTTCTCCCTCTCAGGAGTTTATTATAGCCTGGCATATTGTAGGTGGTGGGTAAAAATGGACCCAATGTGTCATTATCAGAAGTGTCGCAAAACTTTTATCAGATCCAATCAAAGTTGCTTAACTTGACACCGGCAAACTAATTAACTCTCTAAAGACTTCTGATCTGGAGGGAGGGGGGAAGTCTTCTAACAAAATTCAGACCAAATTCTGTACTCCCGTACAGATTGGAACTAGCTGTTAGGTGTAGACAACCCGAGTCCAATGAATTTGACTACTTTTGCTCACGTGAACATGGAGCATTTGAAGGTGCTGGGACTGCATGTGTGAGAGAACAAGCACATGCTTGGTGCTAGAAAATCCACACATCCTAACACCAAGTGGCTAGTTTCTGAGGAAGATCCACAGCTGATGGAGTTGGAAAGCCCTCCTAGCGCTGATGTACAGGACCCCTGGGAGCTCATTCCAAATTCCCCAATAATGCTGTCATAGTTCCCCATAACTAATCCCTGCGCAGGAAGAATGGAAAGCCAACGACTGTCTAAGCTTTTATGCATTTCAATGCTGTATAAATGAGGATCAAGCTCAGATGATGCCAGGACATCAAGCCCTGTTGAGCAGCCCAGGTTTGCCCATGCACTCAATCCAACAGCACCTTGAATCTATAGCATATTAATACTGCTGAGTGACGCAGCTGCTGAAACGCCAGTAAAAAGGCCATTCACCATGACTAGCCTTGCTTTCTATCCTGCTTTAAAGAGGTTAACCTATGAAGAAAGAATGGCTCGCAGGCTGCTTGGACCAGAAAACGCTGCATCTGTGTTTGACGTGCAAAATGAGGAAAACGTGCAGAACTCGCAGGTAACTGCAATCTGTCCATAGGGCAGACCGTTGTCGGTGTTCATTTAAGGGTCTGATCACACTGGGGTGGGGAGTTGTACATTTTCAGGAGGTGCAAATAAGAGAAACTAAGACTTGCAATAACAATAGACTTCTGTATAGCCTCGTACATGGGAAGAGTTCAGCATGCTAATTACACCTTGCAACATCCCTTGTTAGATACCTATCTGTAGGAATGAAGTCTCTGGGGAGGAACACAATAGCTATTTTGCAGCACTCGGCAGCCTCCTGCAGTGTAGGACAGGCAGAAGGAATTAATACAATAACCTATTTGAAGAGCAGGGGAGCACAAGTAGGCAGTATGTAACAGCTCAACTTAAACTTGACCAGGACTAAAACAAATTAACATACTTGTGTGTGCTGACTACAAGCAGGCAGGACTTTGTGGTTTGGGGAGTGTTGTGTGGTAGGCTTCAGTTTAATTGTGTGCAAGCCGGTTTTTCTCACCCCTGTCTGAATAACGCCAGACCTAAATAAAAGAGCATCGCAGAAGCATTTTAGAGATGCCTCTCTGAGCTGACATTGATTGCCTTGAGACCAGCTTTGGCTAACAGGAGTCTGGGGAGCACTTTCCCAAGAGTAGGAGTGTTGCATTGGCAATATTGTTCATACTTTCACCATTCTGTGTATGCTCCCATTGACTCATCCAACTGCCAGGTTTTTTTTGGCTAGTCAGACTATTAGGATTATTTTTGGAAACTTCAGCTCTAGCGCATCACCTTTTAAAATGGATGTTAGTGTTGCTAGATGCTGCATTTCTAACATGGGGGTGTAGAGAGAATAACCTCAGAAGGGATCTGCCATTAGCCAAATCCAGCAGAACATAGAAGCATGCAGTAGCCCGCTATAGTAAACAGACTACACATGTGGGTATGTAGTTAAACACATGCTAGTGAGAAAAGAGAAGCAAGCAAACTCAAGCTTATTTGTCTGAATGTTGCTGCCATGGATCCTGTAACACCTCAGGACTTTCTGTACTTGATATAACTGGCTCCATTGCTAAAGTGGTAGAAATGCTCTGACTTGCTGACATTAAAACACAGTTATCTGCTCTTCAGATCTCTATAGAAGTTCTTGTTGCAAAACCATCCTGGGTACTTGAATAGATCTAATAACTTGATTGTGGAGTTATCAGCAAGCTTAGCTAGTGCTGTGATCTAGTAGGGAAAATATTTTCCAGCTCAACATGTGTTCGTTGCTCTTGGTACCATTTCTAAGTGGGCACAACAGTGTTCCTGCCAGCTCTGTATAAAAGTGACTTCACTTCTATTCCTGCTTTACAGAAGGACACATTGTACCTAGGCTCTCATTTCACATATTCCAGCAAGACTATTTCCCCGCTAACAAAGGTTATATGTTCACCAAGAAAGATCTGCAACCAAAGGAAATGGCCATACCATTCACCTGTGCTGCTGGACTGAAAGCTGCTCTAAACTATTAAACTATTACTTTTTTTAGTTACTAGGGTTGGAAAAAAAAGTCTGGAATGAAGTGTGAGAAAATATTTGCTTACAATGCCGATCTAGTATTTTATTAGAAAGGCATCTGTGGAATCTGCCATTGGTGTGTTTGAAAAGCAAACTGCTCATTTAAAATCTTTACCGAGAGATTGAATTGAGAACTTTGCTAGTGCATGTTAACTGACTTTTTGCTTTTATTCTTCAAAGCAGCAGACTACAGAGAACACAAGGTTACAGGTTCCTTCAGGACAAATAAGGTAAATCTTTAAATCTATATTACAGGTTCCTTCAGGACAAATAAGGTAAATTTTTAAATATATCCCCAGCCAATCTTGTGAGACGGACATTCAATATTCCTGTGTGTCCAGAGTCTTAATCTAAAATGTGTATGATGTGGCTACTATATTGGGTATTCTACTTTTATACTAAAAAATGAACTCAAACTTCATAGTTCATAGGATAATTGGTAACTTTTTTCAACCAATTATTGAGAACCTTTTAAAGAGGCAGGGATTGTTGGGGTGGAAGCTTGTGACCCATATACTATAGTTAAAAATATCCTGAGAATTGATAGTTCCTCATCTCTTTCCAAGCAAGGTTCAGTGAGGTAAGGAATAACCACAGGGCATGGGATATGACAAGCATCTGTGGGCCATGCCTCAAAGGCTTTGGGGTCTGAGCTCAAAAATAGGAGCTTTACAACTGCTGGTGATACTATTCCATGCAGTCAGAGGCAGATAACAGGATGCTTTATCCCAATTTGACAGATTTAAAAAGCTTAAGGGATGGGAGCGACATAGCTATTAGCCTGTCTTAATTCTAACCTCTTGAGTTGAGTAGGTGTCATGTACAGCCATGTAGCAACCTTGCCAAAACTAACTGTAAGCGTGCACTCTACAGGAGCAGACCCTCTTCCAGAGGGGAAGAGCAAGGACAGGGCTCGATCCAGGAGAAGTTCTTTCAGCCACGTTTTACGCAAGTGCCAGAAGATATAACCATTGAAGAAGGACGCTTCTGCAGGCTGGACTTCAAAGTAATGCTGCTACTTGTGCAGTCCTCTCCATACAACTACAACACTTGGTTTCCCCTTGGCACCTACTACAAACTAGGCACGATAGAGATGTTTGAGCTACAGTAGCTCCATCCCAGTGACCTGGAGCACTGTCTCTCTACCACTACTGGCTTTGCAAGTACAGAATCCTTCTTGGACAATCTTGCAAGCCAGCACCAAGCAGGGCTGGGAAGGGGAGTGGCACAAAAGCACCAGGGAGAGAAATTTAGCAAGCTCCACAGCTTTTAGCCCTGGGAAACTTCAAATTAAATTGGCTGTAGCCACTGCATCCCTGTCAGGATACAGCAGTTAGGAGCTAGGGACAAGCCTGCTCTATAAATCTGAAATGTCCTCCTGGAAGAGGGCTCTGCAAAACATGCTGGCATGGGCATGTATTAGGGCCCCAATTCAACAAAGCACTGAGGCAGGGTCTTAAATGCTTGTCTTCTGTGAGGAGGGATGACCACTGAGCACATAAGCACCTGGTTACAACCTGCTGAATTGGGACCTAGATGCCTGCCAAGTTAAGGCCATTTAATAAAGTCCACTTTAATATGCTAAGTGATAGCTAAACTAAATGGACAGGGCCCTTGCTTCCAAAAAAGAGCTATTAAAAATAGTTCTTTCCAACCATTAAAACACAGGATGAAACTCCGTGAGAGATACTCCTAACACATGTACCTTGTGATAAAAAAGAAGCTAGCTCTTGTTATTTAAGCCCTTTTTTTAATACAAGTTACCTTCTTTTTTTTCTGAAGTGTTTTTTAGCTTTGCACTTAGAGAATCAAATGCCTCTCCTTGTCTTAATGCCATTTCTACCATACTGAAGTGATAAAACCTATAACTCTTTTAGGAGAAAGTAATTTGTCATACCACTTCAACAGGCTGCTGCATTTCGTAGTCTAGAATGAGTGAACTCCATTACAGATCTATATTGGTATTAAAAAAAAAAAAAAAAAAAAAAAAAATTTACAAATGTGGTTTTTATAAAATGGTGGGCTTGCCCACAACTGATCCCACTGAGTTAAACTGCGCAGGACACGGGTAATGTGTCCTGTGAAATTTTACAGTTAGGGTGGCCAAAATCTGGAACTAGCTTCCCAGGGAAGTGGTCCCAGCCCCTACCTTGGGCAAATTCAAGAGGAGGTTGAACGATCACCTGTCTGGGGTCTTGTGAACCCAGCATTCATTCTGCCTGTGGCAGGGGGTCAGGCTAGATGATCTGTTCAGACCCCTCCTGACCCTAGCTACTATGAAATGATTCAGACTTGTGAAAGCAGGGCTCCTTGTCTTGTAGCTAAAGCTCTTTGAGTCAACTAGGTTGCTCCATATGCTTTATAGTTTACATAGGGCTGGAAATGCCACAGGTAGTTTCCCAGTTTGGGCATTAAGCTGATCAAACTGCCCTTGAGGAGGGGATTTTCTTAAATGTAAGAACATAAACGATTGCATATCCTTAGGTCCTTCTTCCTGTTTGCTCACGTCTTGTTTCTTCCCCCTTTACAGGTTAGTGGGCTACCAACTCCGGATGTGAACTGGTATTTAAATGGAAGGCTGGTTCACCCAGATGAATTTCATAAAATGATAGTATCTGAAAAGGGCTTCCATTCGTTCATTTTTGAAGTGATCAGAGCCTCTGACACGGGGACATATGAATGCGTAGCCACCAATCGTGCTGGAGAAGCTGCTTTCACAGTAAAGCTGGATGTAATTGGTAAGACATATGGCTTGGGTGACACCCTGGAGGGGAAGGAAACTTTCCAGCTGTGCATTCCTGAAAGGCCAGTGCCTTCTGCATGCACCAAGAGCATCAGACTCAGGAAAGCTGCTGCTTTCAGTGCCTGCAGGGCTTTTCTGCCTGCTTCCTGATGTCCAGGTTTAAGAACTACAACCAAGTCTTTGAACTCAGGATGGAAGGTTCTTCCCAAGTGCTCACCATCTTTCTAACCCTGCTCCTGGTGAAGGGAATGGCATTTTTGCCTCTGACTTCAAACAGGAACACTGACCAATGATGAGCATGCAGGGAAGGAAAAGGGCGCCAACCTGGATGTCTGTCATCTTGCGTTTGCAGCTAAGAATGGCAAAATTAGTGTCCTTCATAAAATACACTATGCATGCCTCCCCCCGGCCCCTAAGTGACTTCATTAGTGAAAGACTGTACCTTCCCAAAGCTGCCAGAATCGTAGCTGAGGAAAGCCACCTGTCATTTTAACTCTACCTGAACTACTGGTTGTATTGCCTCTCATGTTAGCAGGGCAAGACTATTTGAGGTGGAGAACACTGCTGAAATTTAAGTCCCAACTCAAATGGCAGTTAGAGGCGTATATCTCCTTCCCCAAGCTTTGAGATGAATGCACAAATTCTGGGTTGCGGTCTCTGGACACCTCCTGGGTCTTATCCAAGGCTTCATCAAGACTTTTTTATTCGTGAACTGGGCAGTGACCCTCACCCCCCACCCCCCTACCTCCCATCCAAAGAAGAATATTGCTCGTTAAAATGCTGATGTCTAGGCACCTGAAGGCCAGGGTAGCAATGTACATGGCATGTACCCTCCAAACAAGGATAGGATAAATATCAGTCAGGGCAAATATCTGCCAATGTAAAACAGCTACTACCACTTTCTCTTCTCATTTAGCAAAACAGCATCAGAGACCTCCAACTTTCATCTTCAAACCACAAAGCAAAAAAGTTTATGAAGGAGATACAGCCAGACTGGAATGTCAGATCTCTGCCATCCCCACCCCACGGATTTACTGGAAAAAAAACAATGAAATGGTACAATTTAATGCAGACCGAATAAGGTATCCTCCTAATGAGTTGACCATTTGGTGTGTTTAGAAATATAGCTGGTATATCTTAATGCAAAATGTAAATGACATGGTATCTAAAAAGACAATCTGATATCTAAAGGTTGAATGATGTGATATCTAAAAGGTTTGACAAAGACCAGTGCAAAGTCCTACACTTAGGATGGAGGAATCCCATGCACTGCTACAGGCTTGGGAACAATTGGCTAAGCAGCAGCTCTGCAGAAAAGGACCTGGGGGTGACAGTGGACAATAAGTCGGATATGAGTCAGTGTGCCCTGGTTGCTAATAAGGCTAACAGCACAATGGGATGCATTAGTAGGAGCGTTGCCAGCAGATCAAGGGGAAGTAATTATTTCCCCCTCTCTCTTCTACACTGGTGAGGCCACATCTGGAGCAGTGTCCAGTTTTAGGTCTCCCCACTATATAAAGGATGTGGACAAGTTGGAGAGAGTCCAGTGAAGGGCAACAAAAATGGTTAGGGGGTTGGGGCACATGACTTGTGAAGGGAGGCTGAAGGAACAGGGTTTATTTAGTCTGGAGAAAAGAGGACTGAGGGGGGATTGGATAGCAGCCTTTAACTACCTGCAGGGGGGTTGCAAAGTGGATGGAGCTGGACTGTTCTCAGTGGTGACAGATGACAGAACAAGGAGGAATGGGCTCAAGGAGGATAGTAAAGCCAGAGAGCTTGTGGAATCTCCATCCTTGGCGGCTTTTAAGGTCTGGCTCGACCAAGCCCTGGCTGGAATGATCCAGTTGGTAGTCCTGCTTTCAGCAGGGGGTTGGACTAGATGCCCTCCTGAAGTCCCTTCCAACCCTCATTTTCAGTTTTTTCTAAAATGGCAACATATGCATTTGCCAGTCAGATGTGCCCTTTGTCTACTGACCAGCATTGGACATGGGTAAAGGGTCAAGCATTTGGGTTCAACTCCCTGCACTTTCATTGCAAGAATGGTTAAATAACCTCCCTGTGATCCCCTACTCTAGCCACATGGAGCACTCGAGATGCCACACCTGCATCCAGCAACCAGGGATTCAAGGCATAACTAGTCAGATGCCCATGTCCTATGTGGGTCCTCCATGAAGGACCCCTGATCCAGACTTCAGTGCTAACAAGAAAACAAGTAATTGTTGATTCCATCTTACCCGTTGCAAGTAAAACCTGTGCAACAAACTATTTCTGAATCACAATAAGTGTTTTGGGGGCTTCTAGCCTTCTCAGCTATAAGTCATTCCTTTTAAATCAACTTTCATGCATTTTAAACAAAAACCCCTCTAAATCTTTCAGCATGCTGCATGACACCTCTGGAAGGGTTTGCCTCCTCATTCATAATGCTAACAAAAAAGATGCTGGCTGGTACACTGTCTCTGCAGTCAACGAGGCTGGCGTGGCCACCTGTCACACCAGGCTGGAGGTTGCATGTAAGTAAAACTTACATTGTGAGTTAATGTAGCTTGCCCTTTGGTCAGAGCAAGTCTGAGTGCAAACCTAGTTGAGGTCTGAGCACTCCGTGGCCTTGAATTTCCAAAGGAGGTAACAGATGTATCGTGCATTTTGGTGTAACTATTCAAAACAGGCATTTCTATTTGTATCTGGGCATTGTCCGACGGGGATGGTTTCTTTGCAGCGGCTAACCGCTATCCTCAACACAAGCAAGCATTCCTGTTAGAGGGAGCTTGCCTGTCTGTTCCTCATTTCAGGGACAACTTCCTCTTCTAGATTCAGAATATGTGAGGGTATGAATTTTGCCATTTGATAAAGCTCCTAAAACAGGGAGAACTGCAGTGCTCAGGACCTGAATGAGGTGTCTCTGTTCCAGCTCACCCACACAAGCCACTTCCAAACCCCAGGCAGTTGAAGGTTCGGCCGACTTTTAGCAAATACCTAGCACTCAATGGGAGAGGACTGGATGTGAAACAAGCCTTTTCACCGGAAGGGGAGTTCCAGCGTTTGGCTGCTGAATCAGGACTCTATGAAAGTGATGAACTTTAAACAAGAGGAGAAGGAAGCGCGCTCCTGTAACAGACACTCGTGACACCAAGAGATGCAGCTGAGTGGCAGTTGCTCTAACACTGCAAACGTACCTACATGTTTTTACTCCTTTTGACTTTTGCACACTCTGCTGTTCCAGTTTTATCAAGGTAGAACTCCTATTTATGTGGATTAGTGAATGTAGCCATTTACTCTAAACCTATATTGTATTTTAGCTGTGAAGCCTAAGTATACAAGGCAGTTAGCTCTCATAGAAGTGTAGCAGGTTTAACTACACCTGTGCTCCACTATAAGATGGAGTATGCTGGCTTTGTTCTGCTTTCTGTTATCATGAGTGATGATATACATCAGAACTTGTGCTGCCTGAATACTAAAACCAAATATAGACTACAGTGGTTTTTATGAGGGGTTATGCCAAAAGCAAATAAAATTTTAAATACCCAGTACAGGTTGTGACTTCTGTTTTTACCTACAACCAAGACTACTGCAGGGGTCTGGTCCCTGACAGCTAGTCGGTTTGCAAGTAGAATTGGTTGTGATCCTCCGTGCGCTGGAGCTTCTCTGGGTAATGCTAAGTATGGCATCCAGTTACCTGCCTTCCAAACCGCTCCGGTAGCCCACAGAATGACACACGCTTGCATAGCTTGTCCATCCACTGTAAATCTGTCTCCTCCCTAAGTCACAAGTTAACACAACTCTTCTTTGTCCAAGGCGCTCGCTTTTAATTGCAGCCGCTAAAGGAAAATTCCTCCTCTTCAATTCCCATAGGGGAGTCCCAAAAATCAGCAATCTCCTTGCAAGTAACAGCAGAGGGATGGGTCAAAAGCTTCCTGAACAGCATAAGAAGGCCTGAAGCTTCTTTAAATAGAGAGCAACCAGCAAGCTGGGGCCATGGCCTGCTCTGCAGCAACAGTAGCTATGATGACCCCAAGCACTACAGGATCATTGGACTTCTCCTTCCTTTCCAGTCAATGGACTGCTAGATCAATACCTTAGTTCATCAGCTGTAACCTGTTTAGAGATGCCTGCTGTGATGGTTCCCATATTACAGACAAGCCCTCTGTGTCTACTTCCTCATGCTCTCTCTTTCGCTCTTCCTTACCACTAAAGTGGATTTTCAAATACTGTAAATCACTGAGCCTCCCTCATATCAAAAGAGAAATGATGTAGGTCAGGCAGGTTGTTCCTAATGGTCCCCTTGGCCTTTCAGAGCCATAAAATTAAAAATCTCCATTTCTCTTTCCAGATGATATTGCCTAAACAAAACAACCAGACACCCACGCCTAGAGTCACATTTCAGGATTAACGCTGGAGCTGACTTCCTGCCAGCAATAGCAAACACTGCCTGGAGCAGGAAAACAGGTTTTTAATCGACTGCTATAAAACCAGCATATTCACACAAGATTAATAACAAGCATTTTGTTTAAAAACGTTGCAGACACATAGCGAGTCAATGTGCTGTGGGGGGGGATTACTCCGTGCATCTAATCTATTTTGATGAATACCCCAGAGTATCTGAAGAGCAAATATAGTGTGTAAAATGTGGGGTTTTATTTTTTTTAATGAAACTGTTCACGAAGGACTCGAAACAAGTTTTCATACTCCTCCCTTGCACAGAGGCAGCTGTTGCAGCGACGTGGTCAGGATAAGCACTGCCACAGTAGCAGTAGTGCCTGGGTGATGTTGTTGTCCCAATGGTCCAGGAAACTGAGAAGCAAGAATCCATGGGGGGGAAGACACCTTGTATTGGACCAACTGTGCAGGTGGGATAGACGCAGACAAGCTTTCAGGTATCACAGTACCCTTCACTTTTGCAAACAAGGAAGCAACTCTGGAAACATGCACACCCACACACACACCCCTCAAAGGGAGGATGGTATTTGCTGAAGTTGGTTCAAAACAAGTGAGTCTCTAGTTACTCCCTTATAAACAGGCACAGGCTTACTTATTATATTTCTATCCCACCCTCCCCCAGAGGCGCAGGGCAGCTTACAAGAACTTAATCCCCTGACAAATGTTAAAGGTAGGATGCAATCCGATACGGGGATCCCAATCACACTTCCTGTTATGTCACACGTATATGGCAGGAGATGCAACTGTAGGATCCCACATCCGATCCCACGGCACCATATACTGCTGTTGCAGGACGAGCCTGACCCCGGGCTCCTCCTGTACCAGCAAGAAGCAAGCGTGGCTCCCAGTGCTGTGAGCCGGGAGCCCCGGCTAGGAGGGGGGTGCTCCCAGCTTATGGAGCACGTGGGCGTCTGGCCAGGCTCCCGTGAACTCCAGAGGCTGGGTACCGTCGACACGTTCAATTGGAAGCATTACAAGGAACACCCACAAAATTATTACGCATGTTTTGTATAACTTTATGGCTTGTTCCTTGTCCGATTGTGCCATCAAATTGACCAAACGTGTGGACCAGGTCGTGACTTAACCCACAATTAACCAGGTAGTCATGGCTTACGTGTACCATCTCTCAGGGGCCTTTGCTGCTCTGCGTCTCCCCCACGGACCACGTTCATGGCAGCTTAAAAAAAAAAAAAAAAAAAAAAATCACACGTCTAATGCAATGGTCACATTAGAGCAGCGATGCCCAACCAAGGTGGATCTAGGATTTTGAAAAAGAGGGTGAAGACGGTGTGATACAACATCGCGTACGGCGCTACCCTCGTTTCTCCCCAGGAAGAAAGAAACTAGACGCTTTCCTAACACGCTGGGGGCGAAGAAGGGCTGCACGATTCAGTTCAAGACTGAAGTAAAAATGAACGCAACTTTATTGGATTTGCTAAATGAACCTATTAACAAAATACACGACAAGCAAGGCAAAAGTGGTCAGAAACATATTGTTTTATTAGTTTTGCAGTCATTACGATGACACGTACATCTATTCAGATTCGTAACACAAGACCTAGCCTTCAGTGTCTTGACGGGGCCTCCCACGTGTCACGGTCAGCCGTGGTTTCACCTCTCCCACACCCAAGGCAATGTCCCCACACCAGAGGCAATGTCCGCCTGAGGTAACATCCCTGCACCCAAGGTAATGTCCTCATGCCAGAGGCAACATCCACCTGAGGTAACGTCCCCATGCTGGAGGTAATGTCCACCTGAGGTAACATCCCTGCACCTGAGGTAACGTCCCCATGCCGGAGGTAATGTCCACCTGAGGTAACATCCCTGCACCTGAGGTAACGTCCCCATGCCGGAGGTAATGTCCACCTGAGGTAACATCCCTGCACCTGAGGTAACGTCCCCATGCCGGAGGTAATGTCCACCTGAGGTAACATCCCTGCACCTGAGGTAACGTCCCCATGCCGGAGGTAATGTCCACCTGAGGTAACATCCCTGCACCTGAGGTAACGTCCCCATGCCGGAGGTAATGTCCACCTGAGGTAACATCCCTGCACCTGAGGTAACGTCCCCATGCCGGAGGTAATGTCCACCTGAGGTAACATCCCTGCACCTGAGGTAACGTCCCCATGCCGGAGGTAATGTCCACCTGAGGTAACATCCCTGCACCTGAGGTAACGTCCCCATGCCGGAGGTAATGTCCACCTGAGGTAACATCCCTGCACCTGAGGTAACGTCCCCATGCCGGAGGTAATGTCCACCTGAGGTAACATCCCTGCACCTGAGGTAACGTCCCCATGCCGGAGGTAATGTCCACCTGAGGTAACATCCCTGCACCTGAGGTAACGTCCCCATGCCGGAGGTAATGTCCACCTGAGGTAACATCCCTGCACCTGAGGTAACGTCCCCATGCCGGAGGTAATGTCCACCTGAGGTAACATCCCTGCACCTGAGGTAACGTCCCCATGCCGGAGGTAATGTCCACCTGAGGTAACATCCCTGCACCTGAGGTAACGTCCCCATGCCGGAGGTAATGTCCACCTGAGGTAACATCCCTGCACCTGAGGTAACGTCCCCATGCCGGAGGTAATGTCCACCTGAGGTAACATCCCTGCACCTGAGGTAACGTCCCCATGCCGGAGGTAATGTCCACCTGAGGTAACATCCCTGCACCTGAGGTAACGTCCCCATGCCGGAGGTAATGTCCACCTGAGGTAACATCCCTGCACCTGAGGTAACGTCCCCATGCCGGAGGTAATGTCCACCTGAGGTAACATCCCTGCACCTGAGGTAACGTCCCCATGCCGGAGGTAATGTCCACCTGAGGTAACATCCCTGCACCTGAGGTAACGTCCCCATGCCGGAGGTAATGTCCACCTGAGGTAACATCCCTGCACCTGAGGTAACGTCCCCATGCCGGAGGTAATGTCCACCTGAGGTAACATCCCTGCACCTGAGGTAACGTCCCCATGCCGGAGGTAATGTCCACCTGAGGTAACATCCCTGCACCTGAGGTAACGTCCCCATGCCGGAGGTAATGTCCACCTGAGGTAACATCCCTGCACCTGAGGTAACGTCCCCATGCCGGAGGTAATGTCCACCTGAGGTAACATCCCTGCACCTGAGGTAACGTCCCCATGCCGGAGGTAATGTCCACCTGAGGTAACATCCCTGCACCTGAGGTAACGTCCCCACGCCGGAGGTAATGTCCCCACGCTGGAGGTAACATCCCTGCACCTGAAGTAACGTCCCCCTGAGAAAATGTCCCTGAACCGGAGGCAATGTCCCCATGCTGGAGGCAACACGCCTGCCCCCGAGGCAACGTGTAACTAGCCCTCAAACCCGAGGGCCGGGCCGGGCCGGGCCGTCAGCCAGATGCGAGAGGCTCCCCGAGAGGCCGGAGGAGGCTAACCAAGCGAGGGGCGGTCAAAAGGCTGCAGGGGTCACTGGACGCGGAGGCCCGGCCCGGCCCGGCCCTGCAGGG